GAAGAGGACAACGCAATGTCCGAAGAGGCCATATCCCTGCAAGAGAAGAGCGTCACATTAGGGGACCGCTGCCTGCTCTCCGCCTTCATTTAATACAAGGAGAGCCCATGAAACAGGATTCCCAGAGCACCATTGACTATTTAAAACAGAGAGCACAGCATTAGCTGCCTGCTTTTAGTCACCGTCTCTGATTGAGACATCAGATGGAGCCGAACAGGGGGAGGGGGTGGAGTCACTGCTGGGGGCGGGGGTCACTGCTCCGTTGGGATGTAGAGTCATCCTGGCTTCAATATTTTAATACCGGAATACTAGTACTCACCAGCAGGGAAAGGGTCTGCAGCATTGTGATCTGAGCGTTACACAAATAGGCAACAAAATAAACGAAGGACGAAACTCCAAGCCAATATCCGAAGCAAGTCCCAATGGCGGTGCCCATGAGTGTGCCCTCCACCTGTGTGCCAAGGGATAATAAACTCTTCATTATATTATCACCATTCACCTTGTACCAAATCCTCTATCTGTACCGAGTCCACTATCCTATCCCATCCCAAACCAAGCTCTCTATCCCAGTTCTTCATACTACAACTTTATTCCACATCACATTCACTGTACCGTGCCACATTCAACATCCAATGCAACAATCCACCATCACCAACCAAACTCTCTCTATCGTACCCCATGTCACACCCTCCATCAACAACCATCTCCAACCAAATTCTCCATCCTATTCCATACCCTCAATCCCAGTTCTTCATACTACAGCCCACACCACATTCACCGACCCGTACCACAGCTACCATCCAATGCCATATCCACCATCACAAACCCATACTGCACCCTCCAACACCCCAACCAAATTATCCATCCCATTCAGGAACCTCCATCCTCAGCCAAACTATCCATACAGCAATTTCCATCTCCAACCAAACTCTCCACCCTATGCCATTTCCACCATTCTATCCCATACTGCACCTTCCAACCCCACCCAAACTCTCCATTCCATACTGCACCCTACTTCCTATCCCATAATGCACCCTCCAACCCCAACCAAACTCTCCACCCTATGCCATTTCCACCATTCTATCCCATACTGCACCTTCCAACCCCACCCAAACTCTCCATTCCATACTGCACCCTACTTCCTATCCCATAATGCACCCTCCAACCCCAACCAAACTCTCCATCCTATACCATATCCACCATCCTATCCCATACTGCACCTTCCAACCCCAACCAAACTCTCCATTCCATACTGCACCCTACTTCCTATCCCATAATGCACCCTCCAACCCCAACCAAACTCTCCATCCTATACCATATCCACCATCCTATCCCATACTGCACCTTCCAACCCCAACCAAACTCTCCATTCCATACTGCACCCTACTTCCTATCCCATAATGCACCCTCCAAACTATCCATCCTATACCATATCCACCATCCTAAACCATACTGCATCCGCCATCCACAACCAAACTCTACATTCCATATAGCAACCTCCATCTCCAACCAAACCCTCCATCCCATACTTCACCTTCCATCCCCAACCAAACTCTCAAGTCTATACCACACCCTCCATGCTCTCCAACTGAAACCAAACTCAACTCCCAACCAACCAAATTCTCCATCCTATACTGCACCCTCCATCCCCTACTATATCCTCTATCCTGTACCACATCTGCTGTTCTAAACTTTACATCACCCTTCATCATCTCCAACACGTCCATCCCATTCTATCCCATAATGCACTCTCTATAGAATCACATACCCCACCCGCCACCCCCCGACCAAAACCCTATAACTGGACCAGTTCCCACATCCTGTACCATATGTGCAACCCCTCCATCCCATCCCACACCCACCATCTGATAGCACACCGCCTCACTGCCCCCCTTACAATGACAGTTCCTGATGACTTCATGCCATGCAGCAGAATGGCCACCATGGTGAACACCAGCATGAGGGGTCCGTACAGCTCTCCAGCGATTTTCTGCAGACAAAAGAGGGATCCATGAGACCTTTCCGCCCATCACTGAACCAGATCGGGGTAGATTAGTCATGTCTGAGCTGTTATACACACCTGGGGGAAGTTGATCATCCTTAGGGGGATCATTGACTCCAGCAGCCTGAGGGGAGACAGGAAGAGACGTTATGCTGGTGTCACTGTAGAGGATGCTCAACACACCGGAATATATTGGGGAGGAACTTCATATTTACATTTTACTAAACGACATACAAAATGACAAGAACTTTGCACCTGACGTTGTAGATAATGTGATTGTAAAATTGCAGCCACACAGTACTGAGATCTATACATGACATTGGTATGTAAGGATCCTCTAGGCCCTCACCCCACCATGGGGGTCACACTCACCGGTTCCGGACCTGTATGGGCTCCACATCAAAGTATGGGCGCAGGATGTCTATGTTGGCATACAGATTAAATGCCTTGGAGGCCTGACGCTTCCCGGCCTGCCACATCTGAGGGAGAAAAAAAAAAAAGAGTGAGTGACCCTGACTGGGTAGACAGCAGGCAGTAAGAGGAGTGGGCGGGTCACCAGGCCCACATAGCGAGGTCTGGATGAACAGTGGGTGAGGAGTAGAGGATTTGGTAAGCAAGCCCAGGTGGGCAGTGGGCGAGGACAAGAGAGATTGGTAACGAGGCCAGGTATATAGTGGGTGAAGAGGGGTGGGTAACAAAGCTGGGTGGACAGTGGTCGTAGAGAAGTGGGGTGGTTAACCCCGACTCAGAGGACAATGGGAAATAAGAATAAGAGGGGTGGGTAACCAGGTTTGGGTGGACAGTTTGAGAGAACAAGGGGAATGGGGCCATTTGCTCAGCAGGTGAAGGGGACATTAGATAACGAGGTATGGTGGACAGTGGGTGAGAAGATGAGAGGTGGGTAACCATGTATGATGGGCAGTTGGAGAGAAGAGGCAGGGTGGGTAGCCAGTGGGAGAGAAGAGGAAGGGTGGGTAACCAGGCATGGTGGACAGTGGGAGAGAAGAGGTAGGGTGGGTAACCAGGCATGGGGGACAGTGGGAGAGAAGAGGTAGGGTGGGTAACCAGGCATGGGGGACAGTGGGAGAGAAGAGGTAGGGTGGGTAACCAGGCATGGGGGACAGTGGGAGAGAAGAGGTAGGGTGGGTAACCAGGCATGGGGGACAGTGGGAGAGAAGAGGTAGGGTGGGTAACCAGGCATGGGGGACAGTGGGAGAGAAGAGGTAGGGTGGGTAACCAGGCATGGGGGACAGTGGGAGAGAAGAGGTAGGGTGGGTAACCAGGCATGGGGGACAGTGGGAGAGAAGAGGTAGGGTGGGTAACCAGGCATGGGGGACAGTGGGAGAGAAGAGGTAGGGTGGGTAACCAGGCATGGGGGACAGTGGGAGAGAAGAGGTAGGGTGGGTAACCAGGCATGGGGGACAGTGGGAGAGAAGAGGTAGGGTGGGTAACCAGGCATGGGGGACAGTGGGAGAGAAGAGGTAGGGTGGGTAACCAGGCATGGGGGACAGTGGGAGAGAAGAGGTAGGGTGGGTAACCAGGCATGGGGGACAGTGGGAGAGAAGAGGTAGGGTGGGTAACCAGGCATGGGGGACAGTGGGAGAGAAGAGGTAGGGTGGGTAACCAGGCATGGGGGACAGTGGGAGAGAAGAGGTAGGGTGGGTAACCAGGCATGGGGGACAGTGGGAGAGAAGAGGTAGGGTGGGTAACCAGGCATGGGGGACAGTGGGAGAGAAGAGGTAGGGTGGGTAACCAGGCATGGGGGACAGTGGGAGAGAAGAGGTAGGGTGGGTAACCAGGCATGGGGGACAGTGGGAGAGAAGAGGTAGGGTGGGTAACCAGGCATGGGGGACAGTGGGAGAGAAGAGGTAGGGTGGGTAACCAGGCATGGGGGACAGTGGGAGAGAAGAGGTAGGGTGGGTAACCAGGCATGGGGGACAGTGGGAGAGAAGAGGTAGGGTGGGTAACCAGGCATGGGGGACAGTGGGAGAGAAGAGGTAGGGTGGGTAACCAGGCATGGGGGACAGTGGGAGAGAAGAGGTAGGGTGGGTAACCAGGCATGGGGGACAGTGGGAGAGAAGAGGTAGGGTGGGTAACCAGGCATGGGGGACAGTGGGAGAGAAGAGGTAGGGTGGGTAACCAGGCATGGGGGACAGTGGGAGAGAAGAGGTAGGGTGGGTAACCAGGCATGGGGGACAGTGGGAGAGAAGAGGTAGGGTGGGTAACCAGGCATGGGGGACAGTGGGAGAGAAGAGGTAGGGTGGGTAACCAGGCATGGGGGACAGTGGGAGAGAAGAGGTAGGGTGGGTAACCAGGCATGGGGGACAGTGGGAGAGAAGAGGTAGGGTGGGTAACCAGGCATGGGGGACAGTGGGAGAGAAGAGGTAGGGTGGGTAACCAGGCATGGGGGACAGTGGGAGAGAAGAGGTAGGGTGGGTAACCAGGCATGGGGGACAGTGGGAGAGAAGAGGTAGGGTGGGTAACCAGGCATGGTGGACAGTGGGAGTGAAGAGGTAGGGTGGGTAACCAGGCCTGGTGGACAGTAGATAAGGAGAAGTAGGATGGGTAACCAGTCCTATGGACAGCAGGTGTCAATATACAGGACACAGGAGCTCACACTCACCTCATCAGCAACTTGGCGCCCCAGCTGACCCTTTATCCCCTTCATGCCCAGGAAATTTCCATCCTCTTCGCCCTCCTCGGGGACTCCGTCTGCTTCGCCCTCCTCTTCATCCTCTTTCATCCGTTGGTTTATCTCCCCCATATCCTCAAAGCTGGAGCCTGATGTGTCGTCCATGTTCTCCATGTCAATCACCGCAGCTCCGCCCCCACTCTGAAAGAGAGAACACCCCCATCAGTGAGTGTGGTGGGTACATGTGGGTACAGGATGGGGGGGACATGTATGAGGGTGTCTAAGCACGTCTCCCTGGTGACTGGAGGACGGGGCGGAGCTCGGCGGCCATCTTACTAGAGGCAGACCTCATTGGAGGTGTGTGCGGGGGGCGGAGATAGAGATGGCGACGGTGAAGGAGATGAGGAGCCGCGTGCAGCTGGGGGAATTCTCATTGCAGAATGTGAGTGACCCTGCCCGGGACTGCCCACCAATTACAGGGGACTACCCACTAACTACCAGGGACTGACCACCCAACTACCCACTAACTACCTGGGACTGACCACCCAACTACCCACCCACCTGCTGGGGACTGACCACCGAACTACACACCAACTACCGGGGACTGACCACCCAACTACCCACCTACCGGGGACTGCCCACCCAACTACACAGCCTCTCTACTGGGGACTGACCACCGAACTACTGAGGACTACCCACCGAACTACACACCACCTACCGGGGACTGACCACCCAACTACCGGGGACTGACCACCCAACTACACACTACATACCAACTACTGTCTGCTGGCCACCCAACTACCCACCTCTGTATATACTGACCACCCAACTACTGGCCCATCTACATATATACTGCCCATCAGTAATGTGTCTTCTCTGTGATAGGTGCACAGTACGGACTTCCCCGGAAACTACCCCGGATACGATGACACCTGGGACCTGGAGCGCTTCCAGAAGGTGGGTGTGACCACCACACATGGCTCCGCCTCTACAGGGTGACTCCACCCATAACAATACCTCCCAACTTCATCCCATGTCTTCGTACCTCCTCTTGCCGTCTTTGTCCCTCCTCTTCCTCTCCTCCTCCCCCCGTCTTTGTCCCTCCTCTTCCTCTCCTCCACACCCCCGTCTTTGTCCCTCCTCTTCCTCTCCTCC